TTGCACGTGGAGTGAGAGAACGATTTCCCAGTGCTGGGCCATGTTCGCACCTGACACATTTAACATTTACAAATGTGCTAGTGCCTGCATACATGCATGCATGTTCTGCGGATGCAGTAATGGAGTGAGACGCCCACACACAATACCTCTGTCGAAGAGAACCCAAATTTTGGTGTCTCTCTTCCTTCCCCCTCGGCAGTCGGTAAATATTTAATTTAATTTCACTTCCCGACTCAACTAATGCATTACGTCTTAAGCAAGGGGATTTCCAGCCCCGCAGGATTTTGCAAACGAGTCATCGCAGATCTTTTGCTAAGTTGTGAATCTGAGCCACGCAACCCGACCGACACACGTGGTCCAAGCTCTTGCGAATGACTTCACAACATTTTGAATGATGTCGGCAGTACAGACGGTGCAGTCTTATAATTAATTAATCACCCGGGAAAAATAATTAAGAAAAATCCACAGCGTTAAAATCCCACCAGGGCCGTATTCAGTGGGGGACAATGAAAAAAAACCAAGAGCCGCTTATAAGTGCCTGCGATTCCTATACAAGTTCAAAAAATTACCAAGCCCATAATTCTTCAGAACAATGGTTGGCATCCTACACTCTGGCCAAGTGCTTTAACTCTGGGGGTTTGGTTTCCCATCCATCTGTTCTCATGCGAGTCCACGTTCTTAAGGATTTACACAATGTGGCTTTTTCTTTATTATTTATATTATCGTTATTCTCACTGCTACCACTATTTAAATACATTAATAATATTCACTGGATGCTGGTGGAAGGGCCTCCACTAAAACGAGTTTCAGAGAGCCCCTCTAGAGGGTACTTGGCCTACTCTTCCACACTGGGCAGTCGTCTTGAAAGAAGTGGGCCTATCCACGCTTTATCTAAGCACGCGCAACCTGACGATTGTAGACTAACTCTGGCGAGCCCATCTGTGCTGCTGGGTGGACAGAGTGGCGGTGGTGGTGGTAGGGGTTGTGGGTGGAGGGGGAGGTGGGGCTGGAGGCGGTGGTGGGGGTGTAGAGGGCGATATAAAAAACCTTGCACCCATTGTTTCAAACTGCCGTGCGGGAAAATTGAATTTACGCAGTGGCCTCTGGATTGCAAGTCCGTTGTGATAAACATTTCACCATCGTGGCAGCACCCAGAATCTACGCGGCTGTTCATAAATAATAAACGTGCGAGCTTGGTCGCACGAGGAATGCTCGCGTGCTTGCCGCGACGCGCCAGCGTAATGAAGAGCACTCATCCCCTGTGCCGCAGGCATGCAGCTTTGCCCACTGGAGACTTCACCTTGATCACTTCACGGGTCGTCAAGCGATTGCATCACGGGTCAGGCGCGATCGGGAGGGCAGTTCGCCTGGGCGAAATCACGCGGGCCGAATGCATGGAGCGGCTGGACCTCCGCACCTCAGGGCTCCATCGGCTAAACTGAAACTCATTGGCACTGAACTCAGATTCAGCTATCTCGCCATGGAGACTGTCCATGCCAGAAATGTCGAGATGTGCTCTTGTCGGAAAACCGAGCAGACTGCGCGAGCTTATTTTTTTATTTAATTTTCGGTCGTGTTCCCAGGAGGAAGGAGTAGCTTCATCATCATCACTGACAGCCACGATCAATCTACTAATTTAAAATCTGTAAATGACAAAAAAATCCCATCTCAGAAGAATTAGTTTTAATGCCGACTGGAAACAAATATATTAAACAACACGCAGATATGTGCAGCCTGCATGTACAGAAGATCCCAGCCTTGGGACGGTCACGTTTGATCAACTCTTTGAGTCAGTGGTTCTAAACAACAAATAAAGCCACACATTCAGTTCTTCAGAGATGGTGGTCTGGCTAAGGCTGAGAAATTTTTGTTTATGCAATACTGCACACATTGGTGCATTATCAAATTGATCGAGCCGCTGCTGGATGAAGGCCTCCCCAAGCCGCTGATATCGCTCATTGATTCTGTTATTTAGTAATCCACTTGCATGCGAGCCGATCTCATTGCTCCGTCTCCTCCGCCATGGACGTTTCTCGCGGACGCTCGCGGCATCGCGGAATCCCAATTCAGTTGCACTCTGGCGAGCTCCACTTGCAGTGGATAAAAGTACGCTGGCTCAGCCGGGACCCGGCACGAGAAGGGTTGAACGGTTCAGCGGCCGAACTCATAAAATATCTGCAATCCACACAAAGGTTCTGGCAAAACGGGATGTTGAAAGCGCACGCAAAGGTCACGCTCGCTACTTGATTGTTCAATGGAGGTGTCAGAGGGACCCTCACCGCACCGCATGTCCCGCCGCGCTACGGGATTAATGTGCAAAGGTGGTGGGGGGGGGGGGGGGGGCTTTAACTTAAGCCCGATATTAGGACCGTTGCGGCTTTCGCCGCTGTGTTGTCGTTCCTTGCAGGTTGTGTTCGGCAGAGCGCGTGCGATGGTCTCCGCGTATTTGATTGAGCGCAGTGACAGCGGGGGGGGGGGGGGGGGGGGGGGCTTAAGTGCTGAAGGATGGTGATGCGTTCATTTATTACTTTCGGGAAGGCAGCTCGCTCAGCTGGTTTGTGATACATGACCCGGGGCGCCCAGGTAATGGGTCCACTTAAGATTGCAACATGGCGCCAAAACATTCAATTAAAACGAGCGAAGGGGACACCCTGGAGGTGATTATGAAGTCACCCCCACGGCCGAGGAATCCCCGAGTCAGCAGTTTAAACAAAATCCATCTGAATAACGAGGAAAAAATAACGCGATGATTGGATAACCGAGCGACAAAAATGACCCAGGGGACGTAAAAAAATGAATTAGTCAACTTCTCGGTCAATATTCCATCATTAAGCCTGGAATAAAATCTACTTGCTTGCTCAAAAAAAAAGGTCTAAGTGTCTTCTCAGCAATCCTGAACCGGTGGTGGAGGTTTAATATTTCCATAGCCACACAGCCGAGGGGTTGGCCTCTCTAAGGGACAACCGCTATTGACTTCCTGCACGGCAAGATACGACACGCAGGGTCTGAAAGCGGATTCCACACTGGCGCTCGCGAAAATGGCAGCGAGAAAAGGTTAGTTTCATTCCGAGTCAGTAGGTTTTCACGGTCGCCAGGCATTTCTCGGCAAAGCTGAAAAAAAAAACTGTCCCTGAAATTGCGGCATTGACACTCGATTCGGTCCCCTCATTTCAGCGGAGCTTATCGAGCAGTCGGGGCAGAGTGGAAATTGCTGGGTCTAGCAGTGGAGGACACTCGATGAAGGCGCTGGGTGAAGACGCATTAGCCTGGGAAGTGTGTGCGGTGTCACAACTGTCCGTCGAGATCGTACGCCGCTTTTCCGTGTGTGCACATCGAGTGCCTTTTGAAAAAAAAAATTGGTTGATCAATCAATCGAGCCCACAATGGACCCGTGAGATGATCATCTCTTTACTGCGCAAACCTGCCTTGCCTGCTCCAGAATTGCTTGCTAGCGCGCGGCCAGTGATATTCCATAATTGTGTTGCTCAGGATAAATGCTCCGTTCTGTTCATATTTTATTGAATTGTGGTGAGTGGTGGCGCAGTGGTCAGCGACGCTGCACTATGACCCCCCGATTCCCGGCCACGTCTAACGTCAGTGGCGAGGGGTCTGAGCCCCAACCCCATTCACCAATCTGCATTGATCAGTGTGGTTAAATATGGTCAAACAGCCCCAAAAACTGACACGGTATGCGAAGGCTTTCATCCAGCAGTGATTTTACAGTGGCAGATTTCTGTTATAGCTATTATATATTCGTTTAAGACAAATAACACGGTTCCACTGCAATAATGAAAACACTATCTTGCATGTTATCATTGCTTAGCGAAAAACTCAATATGCAACACAGGATTAAGCCATCTCTGTATGAATCGTGCTGAGAAATGCAGGTTAATGTTCATGCTACATCACAATAACTACACTCAGTAACTCGATGTCTAGTAGCCACTAAAAAGATATACCTTATTAGAGCATACATGTTAAGTTGGATCTATTCCAACGCTAGGCACTGAGCCAGCGAGATTCCAGCAGTGAGCCGTCACATTCCGTCTGGACGGTAGAGTTTAACGCTTACACTGAGTTACTGACGAGAGGGAAAGGCAATCTGCCTAAATCCAACATGTTTCACATATCCCTCGGACCTGCAGCACGCGGAGAGTTATTCACTTGAAGTAGAACGCCGCTGGCAAACACATTATGATTAAATAATGAAAGTAAGCAATTCGCATTACTGTGTCAATCCACTGCTGGATGAAGGCAAGCCTCCCACTTGCTGTGCCAGCAATGGGGGGGATTGTTTGACGATATTTTTCCATGCTGGCCACTGTGGGTTGGTGCAGAGGACGGAGTTGGGGGGGGGTCCAGCGTCCAGCGCTGGTTCAGACATCGCTCGCCACTGACATTCGCCGTGGCTGGGACTCCAACTCGGATGTGCCGAGCGCGGCGCAGAGCTAGACGCCGTGCCGCTCGCCCGTTTTGCCGCCACGCTACAACTGCGTCGCCAAAATACATTGTCCCAGAAATACTGATGGGGAAAGCATTCACGCACGATTTCGAAAATGCACTCCGTGTCCGTCGGAAATTGCGATGCCAATTACAGCCCCCCCCCCACCCGCTCAGTAAAAGAAAAAAAAATAGAGTTTGTTAGCTTCCCTTCATAATTCGTTTAAAAAAAAATCGGCAAAGGTTTGAGAAATACGTTTCTTTGGTAATTAAATCTGGCGCCCCACTTGACGTTTCGTAACGGAGGCAAAGCGGTGCAAGGCCGAGCGGCGTGCTCCAGAAGTCTGCCCCCACGCCGTTGAACGACCGCAGCGTCCGCGCGCGTGCGTCACACAAGACCGGCTTTGAGAAAAAGAGAGCGCGCTTCGGTTTTCCGAGTCGTGGGAGGCGGTCGGTGCGGGTCCAACAAATATGTAGACCTCCCATTTTTTTGCCGTGAAGCTGCCGATGAAACACATTCGCCCCCACCCCCCCAGCCCAACCACCGCACCCGTCATTACCTGATAGAGCGAGAAGGCAGGTGTGCGTTACAAGGCTTGGGCCCTGCGCTCCTCCTGCTCCCCCTTGCTCCCTCTCGTATCGCGCCGCGGGTTGAGTGAGCCGCGCGTGTTCGATGGCCGATGATGTGCCAACGTCACCGCGAGTGCAGGCGTTAGACGCAACAACCCTTGTGGCATTTTTTTTTGTCTTACCACACGCACACACAAAAAAAGGCAATTCCCATCAACATACACCACGCTGACCTTTTACGGGGAGCCGCAGCAACAGATCTGGATACTTTCACAAAAAATATATATATTTAAAAGAAAAAAAAGTATGTTTTGATTTGCGTTACGTTTTGCAAGGTGCGGTGGCTCGTCGCGTCTGGTGAATCACACGGAGACCACGAGACAGCCACCCACCTGCGGGTAGGTGTCCTTTGCAAACCCGTACAGTAAGGGAGGTTGCTAATCCCTCCTATAATAAGTCTGCTATTCTGCAGCAAATCAGACAACAGACGAAGAGTTTGCCGAGGCATTTTGAAAGTGTTTTTCTCTCTAAATATGTCGGTTATCTTCAGGCATTCCGTTTTCCTCCCACATGAATATATATGTACACATTGTACTCGAAAATGGGATGCTAACACGGTATAATGGTTGACATTCTTGACATGTAATCCAGAGGCGGCCAATTTGATCCCATCTCCTGGCACGACTGTTAAAACAATGGTGCAAGTTTCTGAAATCCCCCTTCCCACTGCCCTCCGTCAGCCCAGCAGTATACCAGAGCCAGTCGATTTTCAAGCAGGTCACAGGACATCGGCGTTGGGGCAAAGCGTGGGTAACTCGCACCTCTTCCAAGACATTTGACAAGTGTGGAGGAGTAGGCCAAATACCCTCTGGCAGGTCTCTCTCTCCAGAGCTCCCTCCAGTGGAGCCCCCCTTCTGCCAGCAGCGTCATGAGCAAGCCATTGCAGGGTTGCACTTTGACCTATGTATTCAGATAAGGAGGTGGCCAAACATCCCAAGGATGACCATCCTGAAAGAAAGTGTTGAGACAAGGTCGAGGCTTCCCTGGGTAAATAGAGGACGTGCTATTGTTGTGTTCGCTTCTCTTCAGTGTTTGCTTGGAATTGAACTTATTACGGTCGGTTCAAAATGTCACGTTTACTATTCCCGCTAAACGGAGGCTTACGCAACGCGGGGGCCTTCGGTTAAAGAATTTGCCGAGATTATCAGAGTAGAGAAAAAAGAAAGAGAAACTTCAATTAAGTAAAAGCAACGGCGGCGAGCAACCATTTTTTTACTTCATAAAAAAACCGAAATACCGCGGAGTGAAGGGTGCTTTGGGAAGCAGATGCTATCAGGCAAATGACCCATTATCGCGTGTTGTGAGACAAAGAGGTCACAAAGTCTTCATGGTCCAACCCTGTGGCATCTGGGTACACTTTACCTGAGGCCAGGCTTAACATACCTGAAACAGTGAGCACGATTCCCTGAGCAGAGTACACACGCAGCGCCCTCCCATCGACACCTCCCCGTCGTCCCAGCCTCCCCCTTCGCCGGGATGGCCACACTCACCCCACACTCACCCCCACACTCACACACACTCACCCACACACTCACCCCCACACAAGCACCCATACTCACCCCCACACTCACCCACACTCACCCACACACTCAGCCCCACACTCACCCCCACACTCACCCCCACACTCACCCACACTCACCCCACACTCACCCCCACACTCACCCCCACACTCACCCCCACACTCGCCCCACACTCACCCCACACTCGCCCCACACTCGCCCCCACACTCACCCACACACTCGCCCCCACACTCACCCACACTCACCCACACACTCACCCACACTCACCCACACACTCACCCCACACACTCACCCCCACACTCGCCCCATACTAATCCCAAGTCACGTGGTCCCTCTCTTTCAACACAGCAGTGGGCAGGGCAGCTTCGTATTTGAGCATTAATTATAAATGAAATATATATTTAGGATTAGAGTGGAGTGGTGGCTCAGTGGCTTACTTGTGTTAAACCAATGCTGCTGAAATTACGCAATCCCAAAAAACCGTGTGGCTGATGAGATATGTAAGAAAATACTTTAAATTTGCATGTGGAGGCGTATTGTCTGATTATTTGGTAAAATATTTGGGTGATGTGTGTGGAACTGTGCAATGATGCATTAGCGATTGACACACTCTGCTATCAAACCACCGACATAAGTTTGATTCCCAGCCATGGCTAACATCGGTGGCGAGTGATATCTAAACTCATCCTGAGCCTACCTTCAACTAACCCACATTGACCAGTGTGGTGAAGTATGGTCAAACAATCCCCATGACGACAGCACAGGGAGGCCCCCATTCAGAAGTGAAATGACAAACCAAACTTTTTCTCTGTAAAAAAAGAGAAAAAGTTTGGTTTTACAAACCATTACGAAACAAGATTGTCTCGTGTGTGTGTAAATGTGATGGGGCTTGTTAACACAGTTACATGTGGTTAGTACTGTCTTTTAAAATGTTTTAAAAAGTTATGGCAAAACAATTCTTACCAACGAGTTCATACGCATCACTTAGCCAAGATGGCATTTGAAGACATATGCAGAGCATTGTGGTAGAGAATTGATAGAGGTAGAACTGCAATCCAAAATACCGCATGGATTCACAGATGTCATTAAAGAGGTCAAACTCAAGACAAAAACCACAAAGTGAGAGAGAGAGCGAGATGGAAAACGGCTGTCAGCGAGGCTGTTTGGAAACAGCCGAAGGTTTAATCGGCATGCAACGATTGATGGCTTAAGCAGAAGCCGAGGGAAAGGTGCGCGCTCCGAAATGAAAGCCCCTTCAAATGCGGGGAGACCCCTCCATTAGGCCGTGGAGCCAGTCTACGTTGGGGGCGCGGTGGCACGCGTGGTTTTATGTTGTTTTAACGTCTGTCGTGTGGCACGGTGAGGCGGTGGTTGTTGTGGTGAAGAGACTCTCGGCGTTGTTGTGGTGAAGGGACTCGGCGTTGTTGTGGTGAAGAGACTCGGCGTTGTTGTGGTGAAGAGATTCGGCGTTGTTGTGGTGAAGTCTCTCGGCGTTGTTGTGGTGAAGACTCTCGGCGTTGTTGTGGTGAAGAGACTCGGCGTTGTTGTGGTGAAGAGACTCGGCGTTGTTGTGGTGAAGAGACTCGGCGTTGTTGTGGTGAAGAGACTCGGCGTTGTTGTGGTGAAGACTCTCGGCGTTGTTGTGGTGAAGACTCTCGGCGTTGTTGTGGTGAAGAGACTCGGCGTTGTTGTGGTGAAGACTCTCGGCGTTGTTGTGGTGAAGACTCTCGGCGTTGTTGTGGTGAAGACTTTCGGCGTTGTTGTGGTGAAGGGACTCGGCGTTGTTGTGGTGAAGAGACTCGGCGTTGTTGTGGTGAAGACTCTCGGCGTTGTTGTGGTGAAGACTCTCGGCGTTGTTGTGGTGAAGACTCTCGGCGTTGTTGTGGTGAAGAGATTCGGCGTTGTTGTGGTGAAGTCTCTCGGCGTTGTTGTGGTGAAGGGACTCGGCGTTGTTGTGGTGAACAGACTCGGCGTTGTTGTGGTGAAGACTCTCGGCGTTGTTGTGGTGAAGACTCTCGGCGTTGTTGTGGTGAAGAGACTCGGCGTTTTTGTGGTGAAGACTCTCGGCGTTGTTGTGGTGAAGGGACTCGGCGTTGTTGTGGTGAAGAGACTCGGCGTTGTTGTGGTGAAGACTCTCGGCGTTGTTGTGGTGAAGACTCTCGGCGTTGTTGTGGTGAAGACTCTCGGCGTTGTTGTGGTGAAGACTCTCGGCGTTGTTGTGGTGAAGGGACTCAGCGTTGTTGTGGTGAAGAGACTCGGCGTTGTTGTGGTGAAGACTCTCGGCGTTGTTGTGGTGAAGAGATTCGGCGTTGTTGTGGTGAAGTCTCTCGGCGTTGTTGTGGTGAAGGGACTCGGCGTTGTTGTGGTGAAGAGACTCGGCGTTGTTGTGGTGAAGACTCGGCGTTGTTGTGGTGAAGACTCTCGGCGTTGTTGTGGTGAAGAGACTCGGCGTTGTTGTGGTGAAGAGACTCGGCGTTGTTGTGGTGAAGGGACTCGGCGTTGTTGTGGTGAAGACTCTCGGCGTTGTTGTGGTGAAGACTCTCGGCGTTGTTGTGGTGAAGACTCTCGGCGTTGTTGTGGTGAAGACTCTCGGCGTTGTTGTGGTGAAGACTCTCGGCGTTGTTGTGGTGAAGAGACTCTCGGCGTTGTTGTGGTGAAGGGACTCGGCGTTGTTGTGGTGAAGACTCTCGGCGTTGTTGTGGTGAAGAGATTCGGCGTTGTTGTGGTGAAGTCTCTCGGCGTTGTTGTGGTGAAGGGACTCGGCGTTGTTGTGGTGAAGAGACTCGGCGTTGTTGTGGTGAAGACTCGGCGTTGTTGTGGTGAAGACTCTCGGCGTTGTTGTGGTGAAGAGACTCGGCGTTGTTGTGGTGAAGAGACTCGGCGTTGTTGTGGTGAAGGGACTCGGCGTTGTTGTGGTGAAGAGACTCGGCGTTGTTGTGGTGAAGGGACTCGGCGTTGTTGTGGTGAAGACTCTCGGCGTTGTTGTGGTGAAGACTCTCGGCGTTGTTGTGGTGAAGACTCTCGGCGTTGTTGTGGTGAAGACTCTCGGCGTTGTTGTGGTGAAGACTCTCGGCGTTGTTGTGGTGAAGAGATTCGGCGTTGTTGTGGTGAAGACTCTCGGCGTTGTTGTGGTGAAGACTCTCGGCGTTGTTGTGGTGAAGGGGCTCCGTGAGGGGTTCTTTGGGGGAGGGGGCGCGCACGGAGGTGGGCTTGCTCTGAATAGCGCGGACACACAAACACACAAACGGACACACAAACACACAAACACACAAACGGACACACAAACACTCAAACACACAAACACACAAACGGACACATAAACACACAAACACACAAACGGACACACAAACACACAAACACACAAACGGACACACAAACACACAAACGGACACAAACAGACACACAAACGGACACACAAACACACAAACGGACACACAAACACACAAACGGACACACAAACGGACACACAAACACACAAACGGACACACAAACACACAAAGGGACACACAAACACACAAACGGACACACAAACGTGCAAAGTCGCACTGCGTCGTGGCTGCAGTGAAAGTCGAGGGAGGGGTGGCGAGGGGGGTGGATTTCGTTTCGTCAAGATTGTTTTTGGGGCGCTTTGGATGAATGGCGTCTCGAATGATGACTGCGATCTCACGTGTTGCTGCGATGGTCATTTAGAGGCAACCAACTCCGGATGAAGGCTTCCCCCATGCCAGCTCAATCATGAGGGTTGTTTGACCATACTTCACCACCCTGGTCAGTACGGGTTAACACGGCAAGAGGGGGGGGGGGCACCCAGGTCTGTTTGAGATGTCACTCGCCACTGATGCTAGCTGTGGCTGGGATTCCAGCTCAGACTGCCACAGTCATAGCGTCAGGGCTTCATTTATTATCAAATACTTAGCAGGGCCCCCCAAACCTCTCAACCCCCCCCCCAACAACTATATAGTGGGGGGGGGGGAGTGAAATATTTTCCAGAGCTCAGCCCAGGCAGCTTCAGTTGAAATGAATCCACGATGAGTTTACCACAAGCACCACCGCTCACCTACGCGATACGAGGCCACATTTTCCCAACGATTTTGAGTTTGTGGCTCTGAACGACAGCAACATGGCCGCAGCACTCCGTTATTTTGAGTCGGTGGCCTCGATAAGGCTGAGGAGATATGTTTCGTGTGTGTTTGTGCACACAACGATACACGCGTGTGTGCGTCGTGAAATCTTCAAGTGGCGGAGAGGGTGATGCGTCATCTCGTTGGAAGCTTCGGAAAGAGAAGCGCGCGATTTCATTATTTTTTTACGGAGGAGCACGGGGAGGGGGGGGGAGTGGTGAAGCTTCAAAAATCAATGGTCCCGATTGTAATTGGCTCATAATCAAGTGCGGCGCTTAAACCGTCCGTTCATTAACGGCATTGGGGTGTCATGACGCACGCGTGTGTGTAAATACACGCCACACGAGGCATGAGGTCACGAGCAGCCTAATGTCAGGTGTCATTTGAAGTCGTACATTATTCATGTATTGATTATTTAATCAAATAAGTGCATTGATGTTCTGGGGCTGCACCTGAGGACCTTAAGCATCCATTGCTGGATGGTATCACTCCTAGACATGTTTACACACAAACACACACACGTACTACACTGGATAGATTAATAAGGAATATTTTACACTTCTATGTCAAATCACTGCTGGATGATGGCCTGTCCACGCCGTTTCGGTCACGAGGTTTGTTTGACCATATTTCACCCCACTGCTCAATGCGAGGTGGTGAATGGTTGGGTTTATCTCTTGTCACCAATGTTAGCCATGGTCGGGAATCTGACTCGGGTTGTGGGGTTCATAGCGGAGAGCGCTAATCGCTGCACCACCGCTCCATTCCTATTATACTTGCTGTTCATTCAGAACACCGATGTTGTCACGCT